CTCGGTATACGCTAAGCCCCGTGGGCCCATAGGTGGTGTGGTGCCGTTTGTTTTGATGTCCATCGGCCAGATTTTCTGCAGCCTTCTGTCAGTAAGCAGAATACAGCCCCTAACCCTAATAGCATAATGAATCGTCTGACACGTCTGCACGTGGGTGGCTTCGTCTGACACGTCTGCAGAAAAAAAAGGCCCCCTGTGCCTGATGCCCTTGCCCCTCTCGACTCTGGTCCCCTCCCAATGGAGTGGGGGTCCTTGGTGTTGCTGCTCCTTCTGCACACAGTCAAGATGTTGAGCCAAGAACCACTTAGGCTTCAGGAGGGGAGGCCTCTCTGTCGCCGATGCCCGCCGAGGTCGGGAGAGCCCTTTCGTTCCTTGTGTGGTCTTCCTCGTGGTTGCACGATGACCGGACGGCAGGTTCGCGTCGTGTCGAGTTAGGGAGAAAGATGGAGCACGAGAGAGAGAGAGAGAGCAGCAGGAGAGGGGGCGAGGAACAGTAAACACGGGGCAGAACCCGACGGGCAGGTCGGGCGGGCTTGAAAAATGTAAACTCAGCAGCAGTAGCAGCAACAACAACAACAATTGCACAGACATATGAACTTTTGACGGTCCGCGCGGATTTCTTGATCGCGCGGAGCGGCTTCAGGTGCGGCGCCCGAGGCGCCCCCAGGAAGATCCAGTGCAGAGGTCCACGAAATCCGCGCGGATCGTTTACAGTGGAGGCCCATGCCAAGAAACACCTTGCTTGCCTCCATGGTGCCTTTGGTTTCTTGGGTTTCGATGGTTTCGCCATGGAAAGCGTGACGTTCCCACACCAAAAATCGATGGTCTCAAGGTTGGGTTTCTTGTGAAAAAGGTTTCTTGTGATCGGGCCCCTATTGTATGCCGTTTCTCCTCCTTCCGTTCCAGACGTTGGAGGTCTGAGTATATCGAGTTCGCCTGGGGAGTCGCCTCGTTTCGTCCATGGGCGAAAGGCTGGTCCGTTCTGCCAAGCTGCGTCAACACCCGTGCAGAAACAAATAATCTGGAATCGTGATCATCAGCAGCATCATCATCATCATCATCTTCATCATCTTCCTCATCATCCTCATCATCATCATCGTCATCATCATCATCCTGGAATCATCCTCATCATCATCATCATCATCATCATCATCATCCGTAGTCGTTTTGGCTCAAGCATTTTTATGCGCAGGACTTCGCAACCGAACAATCCGACAGGCTGAACGTCGTACGCTTTACGAGGTCATGCCGCGCAGGTCTAAGGTCTTGCTATGTATCGCGACGTTGCTGGCGCACACGGTGACAGGTGCCCCAGCGGCATGCGACGCATCAGTTCACCATGACAGCGGCGACAGCGAGGGTCCGAGCTTGCTTTAGGTTTCCGGGCAGAAGGTTCGGATTGGTTCACATTACCCTGGCATGGGAAGTCAAGCCCAGGACGAGGGAAATCCCTTGGTGTCTATCATGGTTTTAACTTTTAACCAGCCTGCATTCGTGACACTTGCTTTGCGGCAGATCAGTGCTCAGGACTATCCCAACATTGAGGTCGTGCTTGTCGACGACGGGACGCCGTCCATTGAAGTGGTGTTGCGGCCAGACTTGAACATCGGCGCATCAGGCTTGTCTTTCATGAGCGCGCCTGTGACCTTAGTGCGATCGGCGACCCGCCTGTCCATTGGTGCCAAGCGCAATATGGGGCTCACAGCAGCGCGAGGTTCAATCGTTGTCCATTGGGACGATGACGATTTGTACCCTCCGAATCGAGTGAGCGTATAGGTCCGTCCACTCCTCGTTGGGGAAGCGAGCATCAGTGCCCTTGAGTTGAAAATCATTGGTGAGTTACCAGGCGCAAGCTTTGTCTCAACCTCTGCTGAAGTTCGAGCTCGTCCTAGCACTGAGAAATATTTTCTAGGATCCATCGTTTATAACAAGACGCTGATTATTCAGATGGGAAGTTTTGCGGATGTCAGTCTTGCGGGGGACTTGCATTTTATTCAATCGCGTCGCTCACTCCGCCGGCCCATGTTGCACGATCGCTGCTGCTTCGCCGCGGGCCCGGGGCCACTGTGGCGCCGCCGAGGAGGAGGGGGACGAGGATGGGGGGGGGAGGGGAGGAGGAGGAGAAGATGAGAAGGAGAGGAGAAGGATGAAGATAATAAGTAGGAGGAGGAGGAGGAATGGGAAGGGGCGGAGGAGGAAGCCTCTCGCTGGCATCTTGTGTTGCTCTTGGGGCCAAACAGGGTCGTCAAGATGCTTCTTTGGGAGGCCTCTTGGGGTCTTTTGAGAAGCCGTTCGGGGTCGCCTGGGAGGCATTTTTGAACTTATGGGGCCTCTTGGGGCCTCTTTTGGGCTTCCTGGGGGCCTCCTGGGGCCCCCTGATACAGTTGGCCATAGATGAGTAAGTAGACGTGGAACAAGTTAACTGTAGCAGCCTTCATGTTGAGTTGTTCTGTGCGAAGTGCAGTTTAGGTGCCACATCTGATGTTGTTGCGTGATATGCGTTGCAAGTTATGCGTGTGTGCGTGGATGTAACTTTGGCAGACAGTGGGAACGCATCTTGATGTGGTGCACATGCAGCGCGCGTGCATCCAGATACTTCTTGTACTTATACATTACTTATGTTACTTGCAGGTAACTTGTAGATCACTGTTCGGGGGGCGTCGTGGGGACATAGCGCGTTGCTCATGGATGATGTAGTGGGCGACCCGCTGGTGATGGATGACGTAGCGGACGACCCGCTGGCGATGGATGGCGCGGCGGGCGATCCGCTTGCGACAGATGGAGGAGGGGAGGGGGGGGGGGGGTAAGAAGGAGGGAGAGGAGGAGGAGGAGGAGGAGGAGGAGGAGGAGGAGGACGAGGAGGAGGAGGAGGAGGGGGAGGAGGAGGAGGTGGAGGAGGAGGAGGGGGATGGAGGAGAGGGGGGGGGGTAAGAAGGATGGTGATGATGATGATGATGAGGAGGAGGAGGAGGAGGTGGAGGGGGAGGAGGAGGAGGAGGAGGAGGAGGAGGAGGAGGGGGAGGAGGAGGAGGAGGAGGAGGAGGAGGAGGAGGAGGGGGAGGACGAGGATGGATGGCTGGATTGATGGATGCTTGGGGTGTGTTCTGTTTCACTTGAGCACGTGTTCTGTTTCACTTGAGCACGGCGTACACGCCGTCTGATTCGTACCGCACGCTGGCCGCGAACGCATGACGCAAACCTACATCAGAAAGGCTGTCAAGCAACGTGTACCACACACATGACTGCGTTCTCCTGCCAGTCGGATTCATTTCCTGAACAATGAGGAACACGTTGGCTCGATCTTGGACACATGCGATGGCCATACCTGCCGAACCACCGAAAATGACAACGTCATCAAGATGAATCCCACCAGCCCTCTGGGCGTCGGTGGTTTAAAGCGTTTCCTCTTCCACCCCTCCTTCTTCCCCTTCGGAGGGGGGGGAACCCCTCCCCCTACCCCCCCCCTACACCCACCCACCGACCTGGACAGGGGCAGGCCGCGGGTAGTTAGAGCGTCCAAGATCGACTCCTGGGAAGGCTAAAATTCTACACCCCTCACGAGGATCGCGGCTCCTGAGGGGGGGGGGGGGAGGGGGAGGGGGGGGAGGTTTTTTTTTTGAGGGGGGGGAAGGGGAAGGGGGAGCGCGGACCCTGCGTAATTTGCAAAGGAACGTGGCCCTGTGAGCGCGGACGCAGCGTAAATTACTTGGGATCGTGGCCCTTGGAGTGCGGGCGCAGCGTAATTTACAAGGGGTCGGACCCCTGGGAGCGCGACCCCATTGTAACCTACGAGGGATCGGGGCCCTTGGAGCGCGGGCGCAGTGTGAATTGTTAAGGTTCGTGGCTCTAGGAATGCGGACGCAGCGTAATTTTCCTGATGGGTCGTGACAGCTGGAGGAGCGGTGGCGAAGCGTGATTTTGGACCTCGTCTCGGTCGGTACTGCTTCGGTTCGTCCTGTCTCAGTTCGTCGTGTCTCGGTGTGCCGCGTTTCGGTCCGTCCTCGCTCGGTGCGTTCCGTCTTTCTTTGGATTCGCACCCTCTCGGTTCGTCCCGTTTCATAACTGAGTCGGAACTTGAGCTCGGCAGCAAGGCACAACGCGGCGCAGGACCGCGCATTGTTGGCACGTCTATTTCGTGGGGTGGTTCGTGGGATGTCTCGTGGAGTGTTTCGTGGGGTGTTTCGTTTGGTGATTCGTAGGGTGTTTCGTGGCTGTTCGTTGGGTATTTCGTCAAGTGTTTCCTAGCGTGCTTCGTTGAGTGTTTCTCGGGGTGTGTGCCGCGGGGTGCTTCGTAGCGCGTTTCGTGGGCTGTTTCGCGTTTCGTTTCGTCCAGCATTTCGCAGCACGGCACAGCACAGCGCAGCGCAGCTTCTGGCACGGTGCCATCACCATCGATGAATTCATCATTGCTACTGCCCATCGGCCAATCCAGGTGTCTCGAAACGTTTCCATACTTCACATGTCTGTATCCCTTTCCGGGTTCGTGGGTCCAGCATGTTTCGGCCTCCGCGGAGGCCCTCGTTGCCACCGTTGGATTCGCCTCGGGATTCTGGTCAGAAAGCACCCCAGGAGAGGCCCGGGGAGTAGAGGTATCGGTATTTGTTGGTTTCCCCAGAGCCGTCGCCGTCTGCTCCGGGCCGCCACCGTCGGGCAGGCTGTACAGTCGGACTGAGGCACAAGATCGAGGTGGGTTCGGGGTTACCATCGTGTTCTTCGTGTTTGTTGGATGTTCTCGTGCATCCTGGGGAGGGTGCCCCTGGATGTTTGTTCTGGCCGACGGAGGGTCTCACGTTCTTGAAGGATGTTCTTCTGGCCCAGGTCCGACTGTAACGGGGGGGGCAATACCTGGGGGGGTGGGGGGGCCCGCAGGAAGGTGGCCCCAAATGGTCTTTAAATTGCCGCCGCGGGCCCAAGAGGTGCGCGAAAGGTGCACGTCACGTCTTATGCCCCCCCTCGGCGGCGAAATCCGGAACCTACCCTCGCCGATCCACGATCCAGGCAACTCGACGGGCGGCGGGGGTAGGGCTTGGAATTTGCCGAACTCGGCGAAATCCCGAACCCTACCCCCGCCCCCCATCGATTCAGGAGAATCGATCATTGGCGGGGGTTCGATTCGGATATCGCCACCGAAGGTCGCTGGGGGGTGGGGGGCAGCGTTGTTTCCAGGGCCAGGTCTCAATACGCTCGACCAGCGCGTTTGATCCGTCAATAGCAACCCTTGCGATCCCCATTCGCGAGAAGCTCAGATCTTAGGTCTGCTCTTACCGACGACTGGGCTGCTTAGGTCTGCTCTGACCCTGCGAGCATCACCCCCGCCTCCGTCGCCCCAGAAGCCCAGATCGCGTTCGCTGCCCTCCAGCGAGCTTCAACCCAGCATGCCCCCCCATAGACGAGTCGGCATCTCTCGGACGTGTGCATTCTCTCCTCGGCGAGGGCCCTCGAGGAGCATCCTGGATCATCTTGCGGAACAAACACGCGCACGACAGCGGGCAGCACAGGGGCAAGGTCGTATGAGCGATGTGCGAGACGAGCACCCGACGCCGCGCGCTGCCGATGGTCGGGAGCGTAGGCTTCAGGGAAAGGACCTATGCCTATGAGCGATGGGCGAGACGAACACCCGACGCCGCGCGCGGCCGAGGGTCGAGAGCGTCGGCTACATCGCGCCCGAGGTGCTCACCCTGCCCTGCCCGCCGCAGACGACCCAGGCCCCCCCCCTGCGCGGCGCGTAGCTGCCTGCTGTCCGCTGCCCACCCCCGCCGCTGCCCTCGGGCCGGGGGCGGCCCTCGCTGCGCGCGGCAGCGTCGTCGTCGTCGCTCGTCGTCGTCGTCGTCGCTCGTCGTCGTCGTCGCTCGTCGTCGCTCGTCGTCGTCGTCACGCGGCGTCGTCGTCACGCGGCGTCGTCGTCGTCGTCGTTCGTCGTCGTCGTCGTCGTCGTCGTCGTCGTCGTCGTCGTCGTTCGGCGTCGTCGTCGCTCGCCGCCGTTCGGCGTCGTAGTCGTCTCTCGGCGTCCTGGCGCGGGCGGCAGCCCCCCGGAGGGCGAGCGGGCGCACCCTCGGAGGCGACCGACGACGGCACTGTATTGTCCGAGGCGGCACCACCACCACGGCGCCGAGCGACGACGAAGCCGGAGCGGAGAGGACGACATGCGGAGACGACGACGACGAGCGACGACGGCGACGACAACGACGACACCGCTGTGCTGCCCGAGGCGGCACCACCACCACCACCAGAGGGCCCACCTCCATGCCGCTCGGACGTGTGTGTTTTTCCTCGGCGAGGGCCATGGAGGAACATCTTGGACCATTCTCGAAAAATATATAAGCGCACGAAAGCGAAACAGTTCGCGGGAAATGGGCGCCCGAGCGGTGGCAAGATGCAGCGATGGAGGTCCACGGTGCCTCCCCGAGTCGGGAATAGGGGGGGGGGACCTCGGGCGAGCGGGGGAGGGGGAGGGGAGGGGGGGGGGGCGCCACGACACCACCCCCGTGGCTCCTTGCTCTGTTTGTGGCGGTGTCGCTTACAGTCGGTCCGAGGCAGAAGGTCGAGGTCGGTTCGGGGAGGGTACCCTGGTGTTCTTCGTGTTTGTTGGATGTTCTCGTGCACCCTGGGGAGGGTGCCCTTGGATGTTCTGTTTGTTTTAGCCGGCGGAGGGTCTCATGTTCTTGAAGGAGCCCCTTTCCTTCGGCAGCGGCTGATGGGAGCCTCGTGTACCCTCGCAAGTCCGTGTTTGGAGCGCACTGGCGTCCGTTAGCGTCGGGTAGTCGGGGAGATAGCGCCGATCTAGCGCCCATCAGCGTCGACTAGCGTCGATTTGCGAGAGCCAACGAGATGGTATGGGAGGCTCCCATGAGTTACAGCAGGAAGGCGAGTCCCACACCGCAGATCTCTGGAGATGTGGTGTTTCAATCCCGGCGCCAGTCCTCGATGTCGGCCTCCGTCGGGCCCCCTCTGTCCGCCGCCGGGCGAGATTACGGATACGCTCCGCGGCGACGAGCGGAGACCTGCATTCACCTTCTCTTCGGGCTGCGCACCGTGCCGCGCAGGGCTTCGCCGGTGCTGCGCGGGGCGGCAAGCGGCCCC